TTGGGAACACACTGGCTCAGGGCCCCGCCTTCTGGGTGGAGCAGAGTCCAGAAAAGTCTGTTTTTTTTAAATTTTTTTTAAAATCCTGTTGTGGTAAGACAGACTAAGCTTATCAAGGCTTCTTTGCTGTGTTGTAACTGGTGCACCCAAGCAGAAACAGGCCAGGGCAGCCAGTTCCATAACTCACAGACTTCACGACAGCCGATGAGTGGACCCCTGGCCTCCATGCTGACCGGTGGGAAGAGCTGTGGATCGGCCACAGTGTGGACCTCGAGGTAACAGCCCTCAGTCTAAAGCTCTGTGGGGTGGGAGGCCAGTGCTTCCATCTTCTCTTCTTTGTTCTGGTACCATCAGAAAGGAACAGCCAAAACCAGCGTGCCCACAGCTCAGCTTTGGCCCAGCCCCCACTCCTGCTGTTTTCCCAGGGGAGATGTCATGGATTGAAATGGCCTTGCCCACTTCAGGGCCACAGGTGGTCAAGCACGGGTAGTCAGACTTTCTGGAGGAGAAGGATGAACAGTGTTAGAGTCCCGTGGGGAGCTGGGCAGAGATGGAGGGAGAAAGAGACGGGAGAATCTTCTGGATTCTGAGAGAACCTAGGGAAGGTTTACTGAGCTGATTAAGGGAGCAGTGGTGTGGGGCTACGGGGGTGTCAACACAACCAGATGATTGGACAGGACTTCTGAGAAGTCTCAAGTTTCAAAGCAGCTAAAGATAAGATGCAGAGCAAGGCGCTTGTGACTCCTGTTCCAAATCCAAGGACAGCCAGCTGGCATGATCACGGGCCTAGGAAGCTGACACCATTCCTCGCTAGGGTCCTGTAGCAAGGCGGGGCTTATCCACCATGTCCCAGGAAACCCTCCAAGACAAGCACTCTACTCTCCGGCCCCCCGGCCCCTGTTATCAGCTTCCAGTTCTCCAAAGCCAGGAGCAGATGTTCTCAAGCCCAGATTGTCATGGGGTGCTGAGGTCAGGGGCAGGTGTGGCTATGACGGGAGAAAACTAGAAGAAGGTAAAGGCATGAAAGAGGAGAGCATGTGATGCCTGCCCCAGGGCCCTGCTAGGTGTTTTTAGAAAGGCAGGCTGGGGCCAAGGCAAGTCCATGCTAGGACAACAAGGAGCCGGGCCCTGCTGCTGGGGAAGCAGGGGAGGAAGGGAGAGCAGGGTGGGTAAGACCCTATTGTCAAGACCATGTTATCGCAAACCAGCACTGGGAATGACCAGTCCTGCGTGCTCTTCCCATCCTGTAAGAAGTCTCTGGCTGAGGTCCCCGTGGAATCTGGAATCCTCCCCCTCTGTCCTCGCAAAGACTGTTTTCTTCCTTGTCCTGTGGCTGCTGCTGTTTTAACTTCCCTTTTTTGTTTTTCACTGGGGAAGGGCTCCCAACAATTTTTTTTCCAATGAAAACTGTCTGAACAGAAAATGAAAATAAAAGCACAAATGCTAATTTAGGTGGATTGGTCGCAAAAAAATAACCATCTCAAGAGCCTGCTTTGAGCCTTCCTCAGCACCCTGTGCTCTATCTTCCTGCCACTGGAGTTTTAGACAGTCATTGTCACTGACTTATTTGCAGCCCTTGGAATGTGGCTCTTTAGCACAGGGCTTAGCTGGAACCTGCTTCATTCTTATCAGAACAGGAATCCGGTGGCAATTGAGGCAGCAGAGAGAGAGAGAGGTGGTGGCTCGCTAGCACCATCTACTGGACAACGTTATTTATTCTTCATGAGCAAGACTTGCTTTCTTTTACCCAGATTTTAACCACTACTTACCAAAAAAACCAAACCAGTTGCCATCGAGTCGATTGTGACTCCTGGTGACCGCAAGCATTACAGAGTAGAACTGCTCCATAGGGTTTTCTTGGCTATAATCTTTAAGAAAGCAGATTGCCAGGCCTTTTTTCCATAGCACTGCTAGGTGGATTCAGACTAACAATTTTTCAGTTAGCAGTCGAGCACAAGCCATTTGCACCGCCTAGGGACCTAATTTTTATATTGAGGTGTAATCCATACTGAAGGCTGTAGTCTTTGATCAGTAAGTGCTTCAAGTCCTCTTCACTTTCAGCAAGCCAGGCTGTGTCATCTGCATAACGCAGGTTGTTAATGAGTCTTTCTCCAATCCTGATGCCGAGTTCTTCTTCATATAGCCCAGCTTCTTGGATTATATGCTCAGCATACAGACTGAACAGGTATGGTGAAAGGATACAACCCTGACGCACATCCTTCCTGACTTTAAAACATGCAGCATCCCCTTGTTCTGTTCGAATGACTGCTTCTTGATCTATATACAGTTTCCTCATGAGCACAGTTAAGTGTTTTGGAATTCCCATTCTTTGCAATGTTAACCATGATTTGTTATGATCCACATAGTCGAATGCCTTTGCATAGTCAATAAAACACAAAGAAAACAAAAATCCTCACAACTGGATCAATAAGCAACATCATGATAAACGGACAAAAGATTGAAGCTGTCAAGGATTTCATTTTACTTGGATCCACAATCAACATCCATGGAAGCTGCAGTTAAGAAACCACACAAAGCATTGCATTGGGCCAATCTGCTGCAATAGACCTCTTCGAAGTGTTAAAAAGCAAAAATGGCATCTTGAAGACTAAGGTGCACTTAACCTAACCCATAATGTTTTCAATTGCCTCATATGCGTGTGAAAATGGACAATGAACAAGGAAGACCAAAGAAGAATTGAAGCCTTTGAATTACGGTGTTGGTGAAGAATATTGAACATACCATGGACTGCCAAAAAATGAACAAATCTGTCTTGGAAGAAGTAAAGCCAGAACGCTCCTTAGAAGCAAGGCTGGTAAGACTATGTTTCACATACGTTGAACATGTTATCAGGAGGGACCAGTCCCTGGAGAAGGCTATCATGTTTGGTAAAGTAGAGGATCAGCAAAAGAGCTAAAGACCCTTAACGAGATAGATTGACATAGTGGCTGCAACAATGGGCTCAAGCATAATAACGATTGTGAGGACGGCGCAGGACTGGGCAACGTTTTGTTCCATTGTGCATAGGGTCATTATGAGTCGGAACCTACTCGACAGCACCTAACAACAGCAAGAACAACAGGGATCTAGTCACTACTTGCTGTTGTGTGCCATCAAGTTGATTTTTGACCCATAACGACTCCATGTGATAGAATAAAACTGCTCCATAGGGCTTCCTTCCTTGAAAGGCTGTAATCTTTAAAGGAGCAGATTGCCAGGTCTTTCTCCCGTGGAGCCAATGGGTGGGTTTGAACCACCAACCTTTCAATTAGCAGCTGAGCTCTTAACCGTTGCACCACCAGGGCTCCTAACCACTACTTAGTTGTCTTAACATACATTTCTCATATTCAATAAATATTTCTACAGTTGTATGAGTGGTTGTATTTATGATTATGCTTTTTATAACAACTTTATTGCAATATAATTCACATACCTTACAATTCACCCATTTAAAGTGTGCAAATTCAATGATTTTTAGTATATTTGAATAGTGCAACCATCACCAGTCAAATTTAGAACATTTTCATCACCTCAGAAAGAAACCCTGTACCCTTAAGCAATCATCTCCTTGCCACTCCTTCCCCCAGACCTAGGCAACTACTAATGTACTTTCTGTCTCTATGGATGTGCCCATTCTGGACATTTCATATAAATGAAATCGTACAATATGGTCCTTTGTGATTGACTTCTTCCACTTAGCGAGTTTCAAAAGTACATCTGTGTTGTAGCATTTATCAGTACTTCATTCCTTTTTATGGCTGAATAATATTCTATAGTATGAATATACCACATTCTGGTTATCCACTCATAAGCTAAAGGACATTTGCGTTGTTTCCACTTTTTGGCTATTATGAATAACACTGCTATGAAAATTCTTGTATGAGTTTTTTGTGTGGACATATGTTTTCATTTCTCTCGAGTATACACCTAAGAGTGGAATTGCTGGGTCATAGGGTAAGTCCATGTTTAACCTTTTGAGGAAATGCCAGACTGTTTTCCAAAGCGGCTGCTCCATCTTACATAAACCCATTGCTGTTGAGTCCATTCCAACTCATAGTGACCCTATCGGACAGAGTACAATGGCCCTGTAGGGTTTCCAAGGAGTGGCTGGTGGATTCAAACTGCCGACCTTTTGGTTAGCAGCTGTAGCACTCAACTACTGCACCACCAGGACTCCTACATACCCACCAGCAGTAAAAACCTGTTGCCGTCAAGTGGATTCCAACTCGTACTGACCCTGTAGGACAGAATAGAATTGCCCCACAGGGTTTCCAAGGAGCAGCTGGTGGATTCGAGCTGCCACCAGGGCCCCAGCAGTGTATAAAGGTTCCGATTTTTCCACATCTTTGCCAACACTTCTGTCTTTTTTATTATAGCTATTCTAGTGGGTGTGAGGAGTCCCTAGGTGGTATAAATGGGAAGGTTGGAGGTTCGAGTCCACCTAGAGGCACCTTGGGAGAAAAGCCTGTCTATCTACTTTCAAAAAATCAGCCATTCAAAAACTTTTGGAACAGTTCTACTCTGACAAACATGGGGTCACCATGAGTTGGAATCAACTGGAAATATGAAATATCTAGAATAGGCAAATGCATAGAAGCAGAAAATAGATTAGAGGTTACCAGTGGTGGGGATGGGGAGAGAAATGGGGAGCTATTGCTTAATGGGCACTGAGCTTCTGTTTGGGGTGATGAAAGGTGTTGAAAATAGGTATTGGTGACGGCTGCACCATCTGCTGGATGTAATTTATGTCACTGAGTTGTACACTTAAAAAGGTTCAAATAGCAAATTTTGTTATAGATCTTTTACCACAATAAATTTTTTTAATCATACATTTAAAAAAATCGTAATTTTTTTATACAAAATAGCTTAAACCTTCAAAACCATCATGGATAAGATTTCAAGACCAAACATTGACAAGGACCAGAATGTGTTATCTGAACTGAGCGCCCCCTTATGTCGAAGCCTCCCTGCTTTCCTGCCACAAGTGAATCTGGCCCTGGTGGCACAGTGGTTAAAGCGATCGACAGCTAACCGAAAGGTTGGCAGTTCGAAACCAGCAGCAGCTCGGTGGGAGAAAGGTAGGTCCGTCTGCTTCCCATAGAGATTTACAGCCTTGGAAACCCTGTGGGGTCGCTATGAGTCGGAATCGATGGCAGTGGGTTTGGTCTTTTTGGTTTAAAGGTGAGTCACCTGGGACCAGCAGGATGCTTTTTGAGACAGGAGCCTAAACTCAGGGTCTGCACAGAGGCCACAGCCCCAAGCACCTCCCCCCTTACTCCCTCCTCCCCCCTCTTCCCAACCTGTCCTCTGGGGCCACTTTGAGTGATGACACCTGTTGTGAGGGGAGAGGCCACTGGGGAGGGGCTCAGCCTTCAGGTGAATGCTTGGACTTGTGGGTCTTGGCCAGCAGCTTCCACTCCAACAGGGCTTGGGGGGTCCCTGCCACTGCCAGAGGGAGAGGGAGCTCTTGCACAACCTGCCACAGGATTGTTGGGGATCAGGAGATACACTTCCTTACACGTGCCGGAGGGCTTCCAGGTAGAGTTACCCCAAGCAGGTGGATGTGCAAGAGTGCAGAGCTTGGAGCTGGCCCGAGTGACAGCCAAGCCAGGGTGGGGGTGGGGTGGGGGTGGGGTGACTAGGAAGGGGTCGTAGGAAGAATGAGAGGAAGAAGGAGGGTGTCCCTGTGCAGGTCCCACATTAGTAGGAGAGGGAGGGACCTCCTAGAGAAGAAAACAGAGTGGCCAGGGAGGTAGGAGGAGCCAGCAAAGACAGCTGGAGAGTGTGGCCAGTAGGGCAAAATTATTTTCAGTCCTTCAGTGTTGTTCATCCAGTATGGTTTATAAATCTTGCTTTCCTTTCTTTCTTTTGACAGCACTGTAATTGCACGGGCAGGTCGGGTAAAAGCTCACTATATTGTACAGGATTGTAGGCATGCCTTACAAAATATTTTTTCTAATAAAGTGGTTACACATAGAGGTTTCTTACCTCACACTTCCCTCTCTTACAAATGTTGCCCTTGGTAGCTGGGACACAGAGCATTGCCTTACCTTTACAGGGAGTTGATTGATAGAAAAGATTATATCATGGGAATAAATGAATTGCATTGTTTAAAGATGGGCTTGTTATTTGCTTTCTGCCTTATTCAAGTGTTTTAGCCTTGAAAAAGAATTTCCAAAACGAAGCATTTTGGAAAAGACACAGCAAAAAGTGCATCATTTCCCACCAACCACCTTAGGCTATTTTGGTCCAGCTGCTTGCCTTGGAGAAGCGGAGCTGGGTCGGAACAACACTTCGCTGGGAGTGTGCAGGGCTGCCTGCCCCAGAGCTGCTGCATTTTGATTTTCCCCTGGTCCACTGTCCATAGGCCTCCTCCAAGCTCGCCTTGCTGCTGCTGCTGGAGGGAGGAATGTTCTTGTCCCCTGCAACGCCCTCCAGCCTGCTAGAGAAGGTCTTCCAGCACATCGATCTGCATCAGGATGAATTTGTACAGGTGGGCGAACCCAGGCACAGCCTGTGTGGGCTCTGCCCTCTGGGTGCTGGGCGAGGTGATAATTTGCTGAAAGGTGTGCATTTTTTGCCTGACAACTTAGTTCCATTGAAAATGCCTGTGACTCTATTGAATTCGAATGAAAATGCCCATTAGGTTTCTGTAACAGTGCCTCTTGGCCATTCCTCCTAAAAAGGGCGTGCCCTGTCATTCCAGGGACACTTGTCAAAGACTGTCATTGGGAAAGGCACCCACAAACTCGCTGGGCTCATGCTGGCCCTCAGCTCATGCTGACATCTCACCCTTCCTGGGGCCCCTCCACCTTCCTCATAAAGCCATCCCCATAATACAACCTGCCTCTGGGCTCACTGAACACCTAGATGGAGCTAGAGGGCTAGGGAGTTCTGCAAAGTTCAGTGTCAAAGCTGTTTGCTTTTTGGTACATGTGCAACCTGCACTTTACCTCCTCCTCTTAATCCTCTGCTTCATTCCTAATTCACCATTATGTCAATCTCTACCATCTGTACGTGTGTGTACACAAATATATGTATGTCTATGTCTATATGTCTGCATCTGGAGTCCTTGGGTGGTGCAAATGGTCAAGTGCTTGACTATTAACAAAGGTTGGTGGTTCAAACCCACCCAGAGGTGCCTCAAAAGAAAAGCCTGCTTCTGAAAGGTCACAGCCTTGAAAACCCCATGGAGCAGTTCTACTCTGCACACATGGGGTCGCCATGAGTTGGAATCGACTTGACGCCAATGCGTTTCTTGGTTATACCTATGTCTGTAGAGCGAGAGGGAAGGAGGGGCAAAGGAGGGAGAAGAGAAGATGGGGGAGCAACAAAGGAGAGGGTAGAGGAGAAGCAGGAGAGTGTGAACCCCACTCATCCGATAGCTCCCCCCATCACTGCACTGTGCTCCCCTGCCACCTCCCGCATGCCGACACACTTGGTGTCCCCCCACACCATCCTCAGCTCCATGACACTGCTGTGCTCCCCAGCCTGCACCCTGAGCGCTCACGTGATGTCCCCTTCTTCCCCTTCTTCACCCCTGTGACACAGCTGCACTCCCCAGCCTGGCACCTGGAGCCCTCACTCGACTTTACATCCTGAGCACTTCACACTGGATCTCATCACAGGGACTCAATAAACGTTTAATGGATCAGTTGATCCATTTGAGCGATGGTATTGCTTACATGGAGGCCCGGTGTTGCAGTGGTTAAGAGCTCGGCTGCTAACCAAAAGGTTGGCAGTTTGAATCTATCAGCTGCTTCTTGGAAACCCTATGGGGTAGTTCTATTCTGTCCTATAGGGTCTGTATGAGTTGGAATTGACTCGACAGCAATGGTTTTTTTTTTTTTTTTTAAATCTTTTTATTGCTTACATAATTAGATATCAAACATTTGTGTTTCCTGCTAAAGGGACAAAGCTGGCTGTGGTGACCACAGTTCCTAAGCATGACCTTCACTTACTCCTTCGTCATCTGGAAATATTAATGGGACAAAAACGCCTCAGATTTTGGAAGCCCGATTGGGGCATCCCATGAAGGCTGGAATGAGCAGGGGGCAGAGAAAGTGTGTGCTGATTCTGACCTTTCAGCCCAAATGTCTCTTTTTCCTGAGTTCCTCAAATGTACCTCATCCATTAAATTTAGGGATAACTGAGCTGCATCTGTTCCATGAATTCTGACTTTAGAAAACCTTCAACATCCGTAAAATAGACTATTTCTTCAGATTAAATAAATACCTATAAAAGATAAAAGTGCTACCACCAGATAGAGAGATGAAATGGAAAGACGAGAGGTCCAAGGTCAGTCATCCATCAAAACCATGGCTGTCCCAGGATAAGCAGCTCAGGTGCCAGTACTGGAGTGTGGATGATTATTATCCACAGCTCAGTGTGACCAGCAGTTACTGGGGACTGCTGGGCACCAGGCTCTGTGCTGTGTCTTATCCATACATGGCCGCACTCAGTCCTCACCCAGCCCTTGACTTAAGAAGCATCATGTTCCTTGTGCAGATGAGAAAGCTGGGGCTGGGAGAGACTGAGTGATTTGCTCAAATTCACACGACAGTGAAGTAGGCAGAGCCAGGGTTAGGGATGAGTCTGTCTGCCTGCACAGCCCTGAGTTAAGCAAGCCCTGGGCTGCCTTACCAACCTGCTCCTAGGGGTGGAGGGCCAACCACAGAGCCTAAAGGCCCAGGATGATCACAGGGAGCCCTGCAGCCTGGTTGAGATCACCAGGGGGTAAATCAGACTTGTGGAAAGCAAATGAAGACACAACCAAGTTCCAGAGTGGGGAAGGCTGCCACAGCTGAGAAGAGACTGGGGCTAGTTGGTCAGGTGCTTCTAGTTCCTAGTAACCAGAAACAAGGGGGAGGAACTTGTCCTTCTTTGCAAGCCTGGTGGATGACAAGAGGGCCCAGGCTCAGATTATTCAAGGGAGACAACCTTTCACTCAACCTGCCTTGCCTGACTTCATTATCAGTCAGAAATCTCTGGTCTCTTGGAGTCTTGATACCTCCAACTCACTAGTGACTTATATACCTAGTTAGGGAGCATCATGCTCCTGGTGCAGATGAGGAAGCTGAGGCTGGGAGAGTGACTTAATACCACAGTGATTACTAGCTGTGTACCCAGGACACGGTTGCCTGCAGAACATTTGGAAACTTGATGTCTCTGCATGGTGGCATCCTGGTGATGTGGGCTCCCATCCTGCAGAACATGGGGCTCCCATCCTGCAGAACATGGGGCTCCCTCTCTCCTGCTAATCATGAGGTTGCCTTTCCTACAGATGCTTAAGGAGTGGGTGGCTGTGGAGAGCGACTCTGTTCAACCCGTGCCTCGGCTCAGACAAGAACTCTTGAAAATGATGGACATGGCGGCAGACAAGCTTCAGCGTCTGGGAGCCAGCGTGGACTTGGTGGACATGGGCACTCAGCAGGTGTGAGCGGCTCCCTCTGACCACTGATCATCACTCCTGGTGGGGTCAGTGGCACCTTGCTGTGGTGGTGGCTAATTAGAGGCTGACCCTGGTCTTCAGTGGAGATGTCCCATAGTCTTTATTCTAAATAAAGATGAAAGATTCTACTTAGTCCAAAAAGACTGTATGATTGATTTCTAGTCATATAGGATTCTGGGATGGGATTAGAAGCAAGTGGAGGAGGTGAGTCAAGGTCAACTTCTTATGGGAAGACCTGCCTTCTGTAGTTATATTCTGTAACGATCTGTCAGATCTCTCCCAAATTGCCCTTTCCCTTAAATTCACATGCATCTTTTTCAAAGGGTCCTCTCAAAGATTCATTGTTCAGAGTTTCCATTCAATCACCAATGACAATCTTAAATCTTGACTTTGATGCCATCCACTTCAGGGTGGATGTATCTCAGAATGGTCTGTGCTCCAGGATCCTAGCCGTCAAATTTAAGCTCCTTGAGATCTAAGTTCTCACTGAAGAGCATGTTCAGTTAAGTATACAGTTTGTCCATGTGTATCCAAGGAAGTATTTGACTTTTTATTGTGATTTATATCTTAATTCGAAATGCCTCATGGTACCTATTTAGAGAAATAGAAGCTCAGAAAAATGACATGGACTCTACATGGACCCGGTGGTAGACACAGGACTCCTAATGTCAGGCCTTTGAATCTTCTGGAAGAAAAGCAGTGTTCCTTCATGTGACCCATTCTCCTCCTACAGTTTCCTGATGGTCAGAATCTTCCAATTCCTCCCACCATCCTGGCCGAGCTGGGGAACGACCCCAAGAAGCCCACCGTGTGCTTTTATGGCCATCTGGATGTGCAGCCAGCCAACAAGGAGGACGGGTGGCTGTCAGACCCATACACACTGACAGAGGTGGACGGTCAGTGAGGGATGCTATGTCATAGCAGTGCTTCTGTGAATAAGTGGTCACGTGTCAGATTTAACAATTTAAGATGTGACATGGTCCCAGGCTCCAGGCCTTATCATGTGTTGTTAAGAACAAACAGAAATGCTGTTCCCATGGTCTATCAGTTGGCTCAATGAAGCTGATTTTCTTTCACTTGTGAAGGAAACTAGAACCATTGTGTGCTCTGGGTGAGTTTCCTCTCCAGGGTGGGGGTTCCTTGGTTGTGAGGAAGACAGCTGTCTAGGCTACACATTTTCCTTTCTAAAAATACTGAAGGTCATTTATATTTTACAAGAAACAGAAGAAGAAAGAAAGGTTAATGGAGATACACATGCATATTTTCTTCTTTGCTAATTGTAAAATCTCAAAATGAGGGGCTGTATTATGTGACATTCTGCAACAGATCCTTAGGTCCTTTTCAGCGAACTTGGACAAAATAGCTAAAATTACAATGACGGCCAAAGGGTCCTCATGTTTCAAATTATCTTTATTAGCTGATGGCGAAACTATTTGTACACGAGAAGTCATACTTCGAAGTTCCAAAGCAAGATTCGTACCTGGAAAAACAAAGCACTGTTAAAATGATTACCCCTAACACAACTTGGTTTTTAACACACTCAGCCTGGTGGAGGTATCAATGCTGTTCTGAAAATTCTTCCAATTTTTAAAGGAAAACTTTATGGACGAGGAGCAACAGACAACAAAGGCCCTGTTCTAGCTTGGATCAATGCTGTGAGTGCTTTTGGAGCCCTGGATCAGGTAGGTAGCCAGTTGTGTTTGGGCGAGAGGATGATGATGGTGATGGTGATGGTGATGGTGAGGAGGATGATTATAAGGTGCTTTAGTTGCTCACTGTGCTCCAAGTTTTAAGCTGGGTTATGACAATTACTCCTCCTAGCAGTCTTTTAAGGTGTGCGTTATAATTCTAACCGTTCTACAGACCAGGAGAGTGGGGCTTGGGAAGGTTAAGGAACTTGCTCAAAAAGGCCCTGCTAGTAAGTGGCAGAGATGGCACCCACACAAAGTGCCGGAGCCTGAACTGTTAACCAGATTACAAAGAAAACAAAGCAAAAATGTCATGAGTCTGTGGCTAAGTTACTATCTGCTGGGACTTATCTTTTTTTATCTTTTAGACAAAAAGGAAAACGGCACCAACCACAGATCAAATGCTCTCCCTATTGTCCCGCCCCTGGAGGAGGCTCTGGGGACCAGGCGTACCCTATCTTGGTGCAAGGGGGTTTAAAGTCAGAAGGCAGCCATGCGGGCCCCCCTCCCCCTATCCTGGGAATCTTTCATCAGTTTGTTTTCTCTGGAGACATAAGTAGAGGAGAGGAGATTTGACTAATCTTGACTCAACTGCTTTATCTCATTTAGAAAGACAAACTTCATAAATCAGAACATTTTTCTGACCGGGTCCTGTTGACCACTACAAAGCTATCTTCTTATTCATGAGCACCTAATAAACCCTGAGTATTTAATAGGGCCCTGGTTCCTCTCTCCCCCACCCTTTCCTCTCCTTTCTGTCTTGATCCCTCTTTCTTTTTCCCTCCCTTCCTATCTCCCTCTCTCTCCCTCTTTGTTTTTTCACAAGTGGAAGAAAGCAGTCTCTATAAGCAAGTTCCTATATAAACTATATAAAAGCCAAAATCTGCTCTTTTTTAAAATTTCAAATCCAAAAGTTACTTAACCACAGACAAAACTTAAGAAATATTTGCTGCCCTCGGACAAGCCAGTTAATCTCTCTGAGCCTCATTTTCCTTATCTGTGAACTAGGAATAGTAATTTTACCTCACAGGCTTGTTGAGACGATTAAGTAAAGTCATATATGTCAAGGTACTCAAATAGCGCCTGTGAATACTAGGTCCTTAATGAACGTCTATCTCTTCTTCCCTTCCTCCTTCCCTCCTTTCCTCTTTTCTTGCCTTGTTTTCCTCACTGGACTCCCTTGCTAAGAGGCAGAGCAAGTATTAATACCCATGCGTCACAGATAAAGAAATGAGTTCCCGCAGGGTGACATGGCTTGTCCCAGGTCACCCACGTATTAAGGAACAAAACTGAGGCCAAACACCAGTTGCCTCCTCCAACACTTAGTAGCTTTTGGTTCGTATTTTATTAAACGTGATTTTCCAGAAAATTCTTAGGATTTCCAACCACTTCTCAGCAATTGTTTGTTAGTTAAATGTTAACAAGGAGCTTTCAGGGACCCTGGTGGCACAGTGGTTAAGTGCTCAGCTGCTAAATGGTTTGAACCTACCAGCTGCTCCTCAAGGAAGAAAGATGTGGCAGTCTGCTTCCGTAAAGATTAAAACCCCCAAAACCTGTTGCCATCAAGTGGATTCTGACTCATAGCAACCCTATCAGAGAACTGCCCCATAGGGTTTCCAAGGAGCAGCTGGTGGATTCTAATTGCCGACCTTTTGGTTAGCAGCCAAGCTCTTAACCACTGCGCCACCTGGGCTGCCTGTAAAGATTACAGCCTTGAAAACGCTATAGGGCAGTTCTACCCTGTCCTATAGGGTTGATATAAACTGGAATTGACTCAACAGCAATGATTTTTGTTTGTTTTGTTTAAAAAGCTTTCAATTATTAAGATTCTAGAACTTTAGCTTGACTTCCTAAGAGGCAGAGAAGTGCAAGTGGTACATTTGAATGAATCTTTACCCTCATTCAATTGAATGACCGAAGGCCCCTCCTTTTCTAATACACAGTCCTCTACTCATTGTGGCTGTGTTAACTCTTGGTGAGCCCATCTACTCATTAGAACTAATTGGCGTGTTTGTGCTATATGGGTCATCTGCCGCTGATTCCTTCTAGACTTCTCCTACAGTTCTGGGATAAGACTTTGACCTCATCGTGTGACTCTCAAAGACATGAAGTTATAAATTATAGAGATACAAAAAGATCAAAACCGAAAGGAGGAAAAGGCATATTGTAAAAATTTTAAAGGTGCTATCCCACGCTCTAATATATTAACCAGAGAAAACTCTAGTTCCATTTTGCTGCAAGATCAAAGCCTTTCAATATGTTAAAAGGCACACTGAAATCATAGTTGAGAAATAACAGACACTTGAAGTAAAAATTCTCCTGGGGCTTAAACATCAGACCATCTTTCAAAGGAAAATGTTCTCATTTACAATGTTCAGAATTATGAGGACAGAGAAGCGATTTGTAGTTGAGTAAACTTTCTTGAAAAATTCCTTTTGGGCAGAAAGAGGAAAATGTCTTATTCTGCAGAAGCATAGCAGAGCTCTGTCATGTAGATGTTGCTTTTTCTTTGGGAACTTCTTCCCTGAGTTCTTTATTATCAACATTAAACTGATGAGCAGGGAGGGCCCTGTGGGAGTGTACACGCCGGGGCTTCACCTGAATTCTCCTTTGCAATCATAGGTAAAATTCCACTGCTGTCCACACTGCTATTGGGGATGCAAATAATCCACCCCTTGACTGTATGTAATAATTTAATGTATTTATGTTAAATACAAGGAGTGAGTCCTGGTGGCACAGTGGTTAAGCTCTCAGCTGATGACCAAAAGGTCAGCTGTTCAAACCTACCAGCTGCTCTGAGGGAGAAAGATGTGGCAGTCTGCCTCTGTAAAGATTACAGCCTTGGAAACCCTATGGGGCAGTTCCACTCCGTCCTATGGCAATGAGTTAACAGGTTATGTTAAATACAGGGTACATTAGTAGTTCAGTGGTAGAATTCTTACCTTCCATGTAGGAGACCCAGTTTGATTCCAGTCAATGCACCTCATGCGCAGCCACCGCCCATCTGTCAGTGGAGTCTTGTGTGTTGCTATGATGCTTAACAGGTTTCAGTGCAACTTCCTAAGACAGACTAGGAAGAAAGGCCTGGGAATCTATGTGCATGAGCAGCTACCAAAAACATGTTAAATACAAACAAATTTTGGCTTTTTAAAAGGTGACTGGGTAGGGTTGTTAACCCTTGTCATAGGGCGATATGTGTACTAACTGTTTAATGAGAAACTATTTGTTCTGCAAACCTTCATCTAGGGCACAAAAAAAAAAAAAAAAAAAGAATTATCTATGTGAGATCGAATTGACAACAGCAACCCAAAAGATTTGATGGGAAGCCTAGGAGGACAGTGAGTTGAAGATACTGGTGATGGAATAATTTGGAAAAGGATAGTGAGAATAGCAGCACAGCTGGAAGAATGTAATCAATGTCACTGAATTGTACATGTAGAAACTTTCAAAATGGTGTAACTTTGGCTATGTATATTTTCACCAAAAAAAAAGTTTCTCAAGGTCGAGAAGGGAGACTGCTGACCTGTCGTGGGGTTCTTAACCAATGTCATAAAACAATATGTGTACTGACTGTTTAATGAGAAACTATTTGTTCTGTAAACCTTCATCTAAAGTACAATAAAAAAAAAAAAGGTGACTGGGCAAGTGGAGCAGTTTGTTGGTAAAATGATTTGTTTTGTTGTTAAACTCAGGACCTCCCTGTGAATGTTAAGTTCATCATCGAAGGGATGGAAGAAGCTGGTTCTATTGCACTGGAGGAAGTTGTCAGAAGAGAAAAGCAGCGTTTTTTCTCCAGTGTGGACTACATTGTGATTTCCGATAACCTGTGGGTTAGCAGAAGGAAGCCAGCACTCACCTACGGAACCCGCGGAAACAGCTACTTTACGGTGGAGGTATTCGCACATCACTGCGGCAGGGAGTGGGGGAGTTTTGGTTTGTGAACAGAAGCAAGGAGACTATTCTGGGATATTAGAAAGAAAGGGAGAAAGATTTTCTGAGAGCAGAGTCCTTAAACTGGGATACACCACCTGGGGGCCAAGGAGGGTCTTGGGGGGTGGTGAGGGAGTTCACCAGCCCTCTGAAACTTTAAGGGTATGTGCCTATGTGCACTTTTCTGGACTGAGAATTCAGAGGGGGTTGCGACTTACAGGAGTCCCTGAGGTGCAAACAGTTAAAGCACTCCACAGCTAACCGAAAGTTTGGAGGTTAGAGTCAACCCAGAGGTATCTTGGAAGAAAGGCCTGGCGATCTACATCTGAAACATCAGCCATTGACAAACCCATGAAATGCAGTTCTACACTGACACACATGGGTCACCATGAGTTGGAGTCCACTGTATGGCTCACAAACCAAAAAGTTTAGAAACTGCTGCTGTGAGACTGGCAGTGGGGTTGGGGAGCAGAAACAGGGAGATCAGAGGCTGCCTGGTCACAGGTGGTGGATGCTGTGCCCAGAGCATCCACAGCTGGCCGCACACGCCTCGGTGGCAGGAGACCCAGTGCGCCTGTAAGGCGCAAGGAGAAAGCGCACTGACCTCACGGAGACCTGCCTCCGAATTCTGGCTCATGAGATGAGATGCAGAACCTTGTGTAGGTACCTTAGTCCGGGCACCTCGGTTTCCTGGCGCCTGAGGTTGGCACTCTAATCACCTCCTCCCGGGGCTGCCGTGATTCCTAAACGAGATGCCTAGTTCAGCTTTGACACATCACCAGTTTCCTCCTTTCTCCTTTCCTATCAATACAAACAACCTGTGATAGAGTATACCATTTAGAATCGGAAAGTCCCCCTCTCCTAAGGAGTTAATCTAACCACTTCAGTCTGTTTACTCATATAAAAATGGGTATAATAATAATACATTCCCTATCCAATTCCCAGGCTGTTGTCAGAATCAAATGGTACAGAAAAGATGAAAATACATGTGCATTCGTGTGCATTTGAGAAAGGTTGTCTGCCTTCCATTTATCAGACATGATACAGTAAAACCTGCGAGAGCTGGGACCTGTGTAAGGCAGAAACTTGTCAGAGAAGGAAAACTCAAATTATTTTTCCACTAAAATGAGTGATAGAAAAATGGGAAGACTGCACCGTGTCAAAGGTGGAAAACTTCCAAGATCCAGAAAAACAAGGCAGTCCCATAGAGTTCTGGCTCTCATAGGTTTCACTGTACTAAATCTCAGAGTACAGGACTGAGTAAGACTATCTGCCCTCAAGGAGCTTACTACTACAAGTTACAGATATTTAAAGGGATGGAATGGGAGTGAAAAGGAAAGAAGGAAGCAGTGACAGTCATTGGAGAAACCTCTTTCAAGAAACTTGGCTGCGTAAAGGAGATAGAATGAGTCAGAATCCACTCAATAGCAACAGTTAGGATTGTAGCTAGAGGGAGTATAGAATCAGAAAGGTCCTCTGGGAGGTAGTGGAGAGAGCTGTTAAGGGTATGGGATTAAGAACCAAACCAAACCCATTGTCGTCAAGTTGATTATGACTCACAGCGACCCTATAAGACAGAGTAAAACTGCCCCTATAGGATTTCCAAGGAGCGGCTGATCTTTTGGTTAGCAGCCAAGCTCTTAACCACTATGCCACCAGGGCTCCATGGGATTAAGAGGGAGTTATTTATGAGAAGGAGCCCTGGTGGTGCAGTGGTTAAGAGCTCAGCTGCTAACCAAAAAGGTCAACAATTAGAATCCACCAGCCACTCCTTAGAAACCCTGTGGGGCGGTTCTACTCTGTCCTATAGGGTTACTATGAGTTGGAATCGACTTGATGGCAACAGTTTTGGGGTTTTTTATTTATGAGAAGGAGCCCTGGTGGTGTGGTGGGTAAGTGCTGGGCTGCTAACAGGAAGACTAGTGGTTCGAACCCACCAGCTGCTCAGTGAGAGAAAGATGCGGCAGTCTGCTTCCATAAAGATTACAGCCTTGGAAACACTATGGGGCAGTTCTACTCTGTCCTATAGGGCCGTTATGAGTTAGAATCGACTGGATGGCAACAGGTTATTTATGAGAACAAAGACATTGAGGGGGTGGGAGGTGATGAGACCCTGAGCACAAGTGGAGGGACTAACCTCTTCTGCAAGGGCATCAGGGTGGCAGCAGATGCAGGTGGGAACTGGAGAGGTAAAACTTGTGCACCTTCTCACCTGTTGGCTTCTATGGAGTAGGAAGTAAGTTTATCCAGAGAAATGATTGTCTGGAGTGGTTGCTATGCGAACAAGTGAGAGAAAGGACTGGGGCTTGAAGGATAAGTGTCAGGCAGTATTAAGGGTCTCCCATCCATGCATTTGGATGATTGTTTAGCTATGCTCAGTGCCCAGGGATAGAGAAGGCAGTGGTAGATGGATCCAGGGTTGAGGTTATTCCAGATGGGTGTGATGGAAGAAGTAGGGAAACATGAATCAAGATGTTGACCACAGAGAGTTTGGTGTGATGAACAATGGCATTTAGGTTGCATCGGGAAAACAATAAAGACAGGAGGATGATAGATTTGGAGATCTTGACAGGGTCAAGGGACTGGATGTCTCAATGAGGCCCAAGAACAGGGTCTTCAGTAAAGTGGTAAAAGAGCTGGAAGCAGGGAAGTTGTGATCAGTGGGTGGGATGAGGCAGCTTAAGATAGATTTTGGAGGTGGAACTGAGTCAAATAAAACTGTATTTGGAGGTGTAAACTCCACAATGCCTTAGTTATTAGTATGGCTTGATGAAATAAAAATCTTAAGCTAAAGTGGCTAAATGGAAGATTCATCTAGCAGTATATTAAAGATGTATCGGAGCAGGGAACAACAAGCTGGGCAGGAAAGAAGGAATGAACCCAAGAAACAGTTTTAAAAACCCCATTAGAAATTTGTAACTGGTTGGATATAGTGTGCCTAGGAGAAATCAAGGATAATTTTAAGGTGATGGATTTATAGGACTGGGATCTCTCCTTGTTTGCAAATGGGCAAGCTGGTAGGAAGTAATTGTAGGAAAAGATGCTGAGTTCAGTTCTGTTGTTACTGTGTGCCGTTGAGTCAATTCCGACTCACAGCAACCCTCCACATCGTCTGACTCAGGTCTGGGGTCATCACCGACACTGCCCGGGCCCTGCCTTCCACCCTGTGGAAAGCTGTTGTAAAGGCGCGAAGACGGTGAGCATGACTGTTCTCTCCGTCTCTGCAGGTGAAATGTAGAGACCAGGATTTTCACTCGGGAACCTTTGGAGGCATCCTTAACGAGCCGATGGCGGATTTGGTTGCTCTTCTTGGTAATGTCTTTCTTCATTTCACATTTTATGCATGAAGCCATTGACTGAAGTACAGTTTTGTTTGACTCAGGGTATATCTCCTCCCTTGGTTTCCAAATGAGCTCTGAGAAAGAGTCGCGTCGAAGATAAACCATACTCCTCTCTCTTGCCATGGTAACCACTAATAAGCTTTGGTCTCCGACAATAGCAATGTGACACACGTAAGTTGGTGCTCTTTTTAAAAAGAGGCTGTCATATAACATAAGCTCAGAACCCACACTACCTGGATCTGCCCCACCTAGCACATAGGGCACTTTTGTGAAAATTTTAAAATGTGCCCCTTCTGGGCAGACAAATTGTCAAAAAAGCAGCACTCCATAGGGGTCAGTTTGAAAACCAAAACTCACAGTTATTGAGTCAATTCTGACTCATAGCAACCCTACAGGACAGAGTAGAATTGCTCCATAGGGTTTCTAAGGAGCAGCTGGTAGATTCAAACTGCTGAACTTTTGGTTAGCAGCTGTAGCTCTTAACCACTACACCACCAGGGTTCCTCAATTTGAGAAAGTCTTTTCCTTCTCCCAGCCCGGCTAGCACCTCCTGGCCTTGGACTCAAGCACCGCTGGCCTACGTGGCAGAGCTGCTGGGAGCTGCCTCATGATCCTTGGCCCCATCTTCAGTGGTAGAGATTCCTGCTCCATCATTGCCCCAATTAAATATAAATAAATGTGTATTATTAATTATATTTATATAAATATTAAAAGAAAGTTTGGAATTTTACATAATGAATATATATATTCATTCTATGGCCTTCTAGTTTTTCTAAAACGTAACTCTTGGACAATATTTCTTAGGCTTGACAATTTTAGACAATACAACAAGCCATTTTCCTTTAAAGTATTTTGGTAGTTTCCAAAAGATAGCATGCAATTTAATATTTCAGGGGAAAAAAAGGTTAATTCTCTATTTTACCTGAACTGATTTTTCTCTTCCCCTGAAATTGCAGCATGGAACCTTTAGTAGTACATTTTGATTTCCCCAGAGCGTGATTACTGCATGCTTTCTTTTTGGAACTTGTGGCTTCAGCCAAGCATGGAATTAATTCCATTTGGCCCACACACGCATGCTGCTCTGCTAAGGAAAGGCAGATCAGGATCAAGGATGCGGGTGAAAAGCACACTGTTTTACAGTCTTTAATTTTTGAAACAAATTGACTAATAAACCCATAATAATGATTTCTTAATTGCACCCTTATAAATATGTAAGGGCACAGGGCTGAGCTCCAGAAGGAACTTGCTGTCATGCTGGGCTGTAATGGAGAAGCCCCTGGCTGCGTCCTGACTCCTTGGCCCTCCCTCGTCTTCTCTGGGTGTCTTGCAGGTAGCCTTGTCGATTCGTCTGGTCATATTCTGATCCCAGGAATCTATGACAGAGTGGCTCCACTCACAGAAGAGGAGAAACAAATGTATAAGAGCATTGATCTAGACCTCAGAGAGTACCGGAATAGCACCCAGGTCGAGAAATTTCTGTTCGACACCAAGGTACGGTTACAAGTTGATGGATAATTCGAAAGAGGTGTGGCAATATAAATCACATTTTTCCAATGTCTGATTTATTGTCAGTGCTAATTTGAGGGTCTTAGAAGAGATGTAGAGTCCCAGGCAGACTCTGGCATTCATGGCCACTTCCTGCCTGTGGCCTTCTTCAACCAGTCCCTTCTCTGGGGTCTGCTGGCACGGCATCAGGCCTGACTGCTGGGCAGTCCTTCACGCTTTTCCTTCAAAGCTGCATAGGAGACCAGATCCCACATCTGCCTTCAGCCAGTGAGCTGGGACTCCTGAATGTTTAATAATTGAGATGAGTCTAGCTCCAAGACCTCTAACCATTCATTTTTCCAGATGAAACCAGGGGTACTAGGGGCTGATCTGTAAGTGTCTGCATCGCTGCCTCAACGTACTAAGTGAACCCTAGAGCCAGAAGCTCTCGTCATAAGGTGTTTAATTTACAACCCAGTTGCAGCTTCATGGAGGCCCTGGGTGGTGCATATGGTTAAGAGTTCAACTATTAACCAAAAGCTTGGAGGTTGGAGTCCACTCAGAGGTGCCTTGGAAGAAAGGCTTGGCCATCTACTTCCAAAAGGTCACAGCCATGAAAATCCTGTGGAGCACAGTTCTATTCTGACATACGTGGAGTTGTCATGAGTCAGAACTGACTCCATGGCAACTGGTTTTTGGTTTAGCAGCTTCATTACTGCACAAATTTAGATTTTTTTTTTCTCTTCTCCTCCTCTTCCTTTTTAATGCTTGCTTGCTATAGTGTTTGGTAGCTATACTGGTTCCTGGGGGAGATGCTAAAACAGGGAGAAGTCATACTGAAAAGAAATGGTGAAGTTTACAATGATGAACTCTCTCTTCCTCCGATGCACTTTCTGATGGCCATCACAAGACAGAAAGCAGGTTCAAATGTCCAAAGAGTTCTTGGAAGGCTACCAAATAATAAAATGCATTTAATACACAAGTTATCATTGCGATAATCAGAGATAGAAATTCTTAATCAAACCCTAGTTTCTGAAAGGGCCCCTTTGCCTGCTATAATTGCAAACTACAGAGCTCAGGTAAAGGGGAGTTTCATCGATGGTGAGGGGTGTGGGCAAAACAAGCCAGCTGAGGATTAGATGATGCTCATGTACCTGGGGGAGCGGTCCACACTACGTCACTCGCCCAGGCACATCTGAGTCCAGTGATAATTAACTTGTCATGAAAAGTGCCACAGGTGTACAGAAATTGGCGATATAAGCAATACCATTTGTTATGGATTGAATTGTATCCCCCCAAAATACGTGTTGTAAATCCTAACCTCTACATCTGTGATTATAATCCCATTTGGGAATGGGTTGTCTTTGTAACATTAAAGAGGCAGGACTATTCTATGGTGTGTTCTGAGTCAATCTCCTACAAAATATAAAATGAGCAGATTAAGCAAACTGAGATGGGGAAAGATAGATGCCAAATCACATGGAGATCTCCAAGGAACCAGGAAACAGAAGCTGAAGAGACAAGGACATTTCCTCAGGGCTGACAGAGAGAGAAAGCCTTCCCCTAGAGCTGGCACCCTGAATTCAGACATCTAGCCTCCTAAACTGTAAGAAAATAAATTTCTGCTTGTTAAAGCTACCCACTTGTGGTATTTCTGTTATAACAGCACTAGATAACTAAGACACACTTAACTGAGCTTTAAAGAAGTATTCCTTGGACATTTTTATCTTAATTTAGGAGGAAATTCTAATGCACCTGTGGAGGTACCCATCTCTTTCTATTCATGGGATTGAGGGCGCATTTGATGAGCCTGGAGCCAAAACAGTCATACCTGGCCGAGTCATAGGAAAGTTTTCCATCCGACTGGTCCCTCACATGAATGCGTCTGTGGTGGAGAAACAGGTAACAAGTGTCTACTGTTACTCGCCTAGCAGCATGTTTCTGAGTACTGCACACCACAATTTAGGGAGTGCTTCCTTCGTTAGCATTGAAGTATCATTTTTTTCAATACCAAAGGACTGGAACAAAAGTCAACACACCAGTATCATTTCTGTTCAGTAAAAATATCTTTCCTCAATTACCTGGAATTATAGTAGTCAGATCAGTAGCTGTTGGGAGTTGAAGTGATGGGAAATTGTTTTGAATTAAATGGTAGATGTAAAGTAAAGGCAAGACTGGTTATGCATAGATGGAGAAGGTGCCTGCCCACAGCTGGCTGGAGCCAGAAAAATCTCAGCCCCAGTCATTTGTTTTACCAGAATGTTCGATATCACCGCTTTGAACACAGCCATTTTAATGAAAATGGTACCTCGAAAGAGTTATATATCTAAATTATCAACCTATCATCAGCTAACCTCAAGTTAGTTTAACAAAAAATAGACTCTGAGTGAAGGAGCTAAAGGAATACCCCATTGCCCCCTTCCACGCCTCCCCTCCTCACTCTCTAGCCTATTCTCCTCTTTTAAACATCAGGCTCACATGGTGCAATGCTTTCTGGCAGAACAAAGGTAGAATCCTCAACACTCGAATCGGTCAGGTTGGGATTTCCATTAGTTTCTTGATGAAAGGCTACTGTATATTTGTTGTATGAGAGAGTAACTTGAAATTCTCTCTTTTGAAAATGTTACCTTTTAGGTGAAGTGGCATCTTGAAGATATCTTCTCCAAAAGAAATAGTTCCAACCAGATGGCTGTTTCTATGGTGCTAGGACTACAACCATGGATCGCAGATATTAAAGATAATCAGTATCTGGCAGCAAAAAGAGCAATCCGAACAGGTGGGATCTTAAGATTTTTTTTTTTATTATTATTGTAAAAATATATACAATAGAACATTTGCCAACTCAACCTTTTTCACATGTACAACTTAGTGACATCAACTACGTTAATCATGTTGTACAATCTTCACCGATAATACACATTGTCAAATTTTCCGTCACCATAAAGAGATATTCAGTGAGATCTTAACATATTTTGATTAACCGGTTTACAGTGGAACCAATGGCTGGTGTCTGGTGGGCAGTGGATAGAGCAGACAGTTTAAAACTTAAATATTGATTCTCCTTTTCATATAGGTTCTAGTCCTGAGAACAAGCTAGGTACAGGGTCTTTTATATCTATTATCCCCACCCAAAAAGCCCAAAACCAAACCACTTGCCATTGAGTCAATTCCAACTCATAGCGACCCTGTAGGACACAGTAGAACTGCCCCATAGAGTTTCCAAGGAGCAGCTGGTGGACTTGAACTGCTGACCTTTTGGTTAGCAGCCATAGCTCTTAACTATTATGCCACCAGGGCTATCCCCACAGCCATCCTCATTTTACTCAGGAAGAAATCAAGGCACCTAGCCCATAAGTGGCAGGGCCATGGTTGCTCTCACCATGAAGAGTTTCTCCCTGACCTTGAGTCACCTCTCAGGCAAGACTACATGGTTGGCTGATCTGAGGACTTGTGCCTGGGCCCCGGCTGCCAGGAACAGGGAGAAGATATACCCACCTCCTTGGCTTCTGCAGCAGGAGGGGACTCTGCCAAGAATCTCAACATGGGGTCTCCCCCTAAAGCAGGGGGAGATTTCAGATGGTTGATGGGTATCTTAGTTTCCTAGGGTAGCCATGACAAAATATCACAAAGTGGGTCATTACTTTTTCACAGTTCTAGAGCCTAGAAGTCCAAATCAGGGTGCGGGCCATGTTGATTCTTTCTAAGCAGGGGTGGATTAACCAGTAAGCAAGGTTCGCAAGGGCTTACTTGCGTTTACTTGCTAATCTGTAGTGCATAATTTCACATGGGTTTCACCTCATCATTGATTGACATGGAGAAAAACAAGTGAAACTGTGTACTACAGATGAGTAAGTAAGCACAAGAAAGCCCATGTGTACCTTGCTTATTGGGTCATCTGAAACTTCTTCTGCGGGCTCTGAGAGTAACTGCTCCATGCCTCTGCTAGTTTCTGATCAGTGGTCTTCCAGAGAGTCACAGCCATGGAAGGCAAAGACTGAGAAATATTACAGACTAGAAAGGACTTAGGAGAAGTAATGACAGAATGCAAGATGGGACTCTGGGTTGGATCCTGGACTGGCAAAAAGGCATTTATAGAAAAATTGAAATAAGGTCTAGAGTTTAGTTAATAGTGTCATACTAATGTTAATGGCCTATTCTTGATAACTGTACAATGGTTAATAGGATATTAACATTAGAGAGAGTAGATTAAGGAATAGAAGGGAACTGGCTCTGTGCTATTTTTGAAACTTTTCTGTAAGTCTAAAATGAGTTCAAAATAAAAATTTTATTAAAAGTATGTTTTTAAAGTAGGTAATTGTAGAGAAGGCAACCACAATTTTTTTCTTATTCTGTTGACTTTTTAGAATATAAATTGCATGATGTCAAGGAGCTTACCTACCCTAGACATCACTCTAATGGTTAAAAAGAGAAAAAGAAAAAGATAATGAAAGAAGGCAAACACTACACTTGAGGACATTACCAGGTCATCTTGTCTCTGTTTTCTTCTGATTCTTCCTTTCCTGTGTTTCAGTGTTTGGAACGGAACCAGATATGATCCGGGATGGCTCAACCATTCCCATTGCAAAAATATTTCAGGATATCATCCAGAAGAGTGTGATGATGCTTCCACTGGGAGCTGTTGATGATGGAGAACACTCTCAGAATGAGAAAATCAACAGGTTAGCTGATCCCTGGGGGGCCAGCCCATCACTGCACAAGCACCAGGGTCTCCATATCAGCAATCCCCTTCAGATGATGTTGGAATGGAAAGTGTTATCTTAAAGGATATTTAGGAATGTTTGATATGTATATTCTTGGCAGATTATCAAATCTCCTCAACTTCCCAGACTAGTAAGAACCAAGAAAACACTGGGCTCTGATATCCTTGTCATGCCAATGATAAAGAATAAAATTGATTTTTAAAAATTTGATGGTCCAGGACTCAACCCATTCTCTTAATAATAATGCTATTTTCACACGGAACTTACAAGTGCCTTTCAGACTCGGATCTCAGAATAGTACGTTAAACACTTTAGACTGAATTTATAATACCAACTCTTTCTCTTTAAATGATAGACTAAGTTTTGTCCTTCATTTGAATGGAAATAACAAAATTTCCCTTCCTTTTTTTTTTTGTGTTAGGTGGAACTACATAGAGGGATCCAAATTATTCGCTGCCTTTTTCCTAGAGATGGCTAAGCTGCATTAATAATGATGAAACCTCCCAGCTCAGATCTGCCCCACTGACAGACCCCCCTTCCATATCCCTGGGCAGGGATAGAAGCTGAAGACCAAAAGTATTATCTCTCATTAAATTATGCCTCCTCTCCTACCCCCTGCTTAAAATGTCTTGGGACACTTGGACCAATAATAAAATATTTTAAAAGTTAGACATTGACAATGTTTTAATGTGTCTTTTTGCACACTGTCTTAGGGTTCTTCGGAGAAACTGAACCAGTAAGAGACAGATAGATAGACAGATAGATTTCAAGGAGTTGGCTTATGTGATTGTGTGGGCTGAAGTGTAAAATCTATAGGTGAGGCACAGGCTGGAAATGCCATTAGGATGCCTACGTTACAGTCTTGAGGCAGAATCCTCACTCGGGAAACCTCAGTTTTTCGCTCTTGAGACCTTCAACTGATTAAATGAGGCACACCTATATTATGGCCGGTAATCTCCTTTATTTAGACTCAACTGATTTAAATGTTAATCACGTGTAAATACTTCCATTGCAACGTCTAGACTAGTGTTTGATCAAACAACTGGGCATCATACCCTAGCCAAGTCGATATATAAAATTAACCATCACACATACCTTCCTAAAGTCACTGCTCCCTTCAGCAACTTGACTTCTCCAAGACCTGCTGCAATAGCCCCACGACTGGACTCATTCTAACCTTTCAGCACAAGTAGGACAATGCTTTGGTTAGTTTAGACTCTCCCCTTGCATAATTGGCATAATCACTTCAGTTTGTTTTCTGAGTCCTGAAATGCTACTAACTCGTGATCACTCCATCTAACCACAGTCAGGACTTACACAACCTTGGCCCTTGCAATAATTTCCTTTGATATTCCATCCTCTTCTCACATGTCAACATGGTTAGGTTCCAAAGATTAGGTCCTTATGTGAAACGGCGTTATGTGAAAAAGAAGGATGACCACATCAGATCACAAAATGGAGGATGACTACATCATTACATAACAGCCAAATTACAAAATCACATAACTGCGAAACCACTGAAAATCATAGCCCAGCCAAGCTGACACATAACCTTAACCATCACAGCCAGTGTTACTCTCACCTTGGCATTCGTTACTGCCAGATGTACGTTGTAATGTGCAAAATGGTTAGATAGTAGACTTTTTGCTATTGTTGCAAATGCAAAATGTTGGATAATGAGACAGTCTATAAGAGAGGAGTAGGTATATTAATAAAAAGGTTGGTTTCAACCACTGTCTATGATGGTTTCCCTGGGGAAACATGTTTAGAGCAGTTACAAAAGCATGCAATTATATTAACCTCTTACTTCCCATTCAGTTATTTTTCCTGCTTCTTGAAAAGTTCTGAAGCTGAAATGATCAATATTCATACTTTATGCCACTTGGGATTCCTTGTGCAAAGATGAGCATTTTTTTCATTCTCAGCTTCCTTGCCTTTGCTGCAATTGATGCCCACCTGATTAGCCCCTCCTGCATCCTGCTTTCTTCCTATCCCACCAGTAAAGATCCACTCTCTATGCAACATCTGTGCATATGTAAATCCACTACAGCAGAATCATTCTGACAGAATTCCTCTCGCCCCATTGAAATTTTACTCAGTGACTAACTACATCTAAATTGCCCAAAGCTTTTAATAGCATCATTTTAGATTGAGAACTAATCAACCCTGACATCAGTAACACATGCTAAATTTAAAGCCATCAGCGAATGCTGCATTCATTAATCATTTTAGTTAACCATCTTGTTTAGCTTGATTGGATTTGACGGTATAAACAACAACAACAAGAATGTAATTTTTCTACAGTTGAGAGTATGTAAACAAATCAATTCAGTCTTTATAAATTCATTATTTAAATCACATTAATGGAGAAGAATTTAAGGGTTTATTAAAAATGTTTTTCTTCGGATTCCAAATAAAAACAAAGCATAGTGCATTTGCCTTCAACTGTTTTCTATCTCCCCGCTGGCTCTTGAAATGTCAGGTTTAAAACTAATTGGCTTAGATCTAAAATGAGTGGACTACGGGGTTAGTAATTCCACCTGCCCTAAGGCCCGCAACAGAAAGGGCCCAATTGTGAATCAGCCTAGTAGGGTATATTCATGAAGGATTCCATTTAGCATTTGTTTGACAGCAGACTTCAAACCATCCATTCTTGTTCTTCTTTTTTATCCTATTTATTTAGGAATTTGGCAAATAAAATCAGAACATAGCAAAGAGCCTGATTTTATGAAGAAAAACAAATGCATTTCACTGCTATGCAAGCAGATTTCAATAAACTATATTATATATGACATTTTTATACAATTAATGAAAGTAAACCATTAACAGCCCACAAATATGACTGCAACCATTACCACTATCCGTTTCAAAAAGTTTTTCATCACCCTACACAGAAACTCAGTGCCCCTTAAGCAATAACTTCCTATTTCTCCCTCCCCCCAGCCACTGTTAACCACTAATAAACTTTAGTCTCTATGTATTTGCCTATTCAGGATATTTCATATAAGTGGGATCATACAGTACCTGTCCTTTTGTGACTGACTTCTCTCACTCAGCATAACGTTTTCAAGGTTCATCCGTGTCGTGGCATGTTCTCAAGACTTCATTTCTCTTGACGGCTGAGTAATACTCCATTGTATGGATGGGTCACGTTTGTTTATCCTTTCTTCTGTTCATGGACACGTGGGTTGTTTCCACATTTTGGCTATTGTGAATAATCATCACATCTTCTTTAATGCCTGAGAATATGACATTGTGTTCGTTAACTATTGGCAGGTATTTGATATTCTGTACTTTCAAGCATAGTGTGTGCTCAGTGGGTCACACTGGATCTTGTAATGCTTTTGGATTTTGCTGGACCTACCTGACTGTATTGGATGGTTCCCAAGGACTGACAATAAATACCGTTTATGATGTCAACTTATATTTTTAAAAGGATGTTCATATTAGTCAATTTAAACAGTTCATTATAAAATACAGGTAGCCCCCAACTTATGACAGAGTTCTGTTTTGACAACTCTCTCATAAGTTGTTTCTGACATAAATCAACTATCTCTCCTTTTTTTTTTTAAGTTTTCATAGTCTGCTATACAGCAGTGTTTTGAACCGTAAATCATAACATTGAACATCTGCGAGTGAACATCTGAGAACAACATCCACAAATTACTCGCTGCAAGATAGTATGTAGCACATATTACTAATGATAAGATGTACAAAAAAACCAAAACCAAAACCAAAACAAACCAGATGGTCGTATTAGTGCAGTTCATTATAACTCAAATACAGCATAAGTCAGGGACTACTGTATATTATAACCATTTCAGGAGCCCAGAGGAGTACTCTGCACAGGTGGGTGCTCAATTTTAATGGCTAACATCTTCCTCTTGACTCTGCAGCCACAACTTTTGGAGTCTCCACCACCTGGCCTGCTGCCCTGACCCTGGACCTCTCTCTCTATGCTTGTCCCTTCACATCACCATCATTCCTAGTTGAAACCAACTAGTACCAGGAAAAAACATATAAAATAAGTCACGTTGAGGTGTCATTGATTGGTAATGGTCCATTGTGTTATCTTCTCAGGCAGTATTTGTGTTTTAACACGGTCGATGCCTAAGTTTGAGACCACAAACTGGCAGCCAGCGAGCTGTATAGATGTCCCTTCCCCTGTTTGCGTTGGCCTTCACTGTGTTGGAAACATTTTTGAATTGGATGCCAACATTTCAAAATTGGCAGATTTCACATAAGATTTCTCTCCAGTAACCAGAAACTGGACAACACTGACCTGCTGTTTCTGCAGGGTAACAACCAGCTGAGCTGAGGAATGGTGGCCCTATTTAAGTGCTAGCACAGTGCTGACCCATAACACGTGCTTAATAAATATTAGACATCACTGGTATTAATCAGTTTCTTAGAAGAAGTGGAACAAGAAGGAAGCTCACGAAAGAAGAAAAAAAAAAAAACCTACCCATTGCTGTTGAGTGGATTCCAAGTCATGGCAGCCCTATGTGTAACAGAGTAGAAATGCTCCATAAGGTATTCTTGGCTGTAATCTTTATGGAAGCAGATCACCAGGCCTTTCTTTTGCAGTGCCGCTGGGTGGGTTTGAACAGCCAATCTTTAGATTAGTAGTCGAGCGCAAACATTTGCACCACCCAAAGACCTACAAAAGAAAAATAGAAGTGACCTGGCTTCTCACTTGCACTGATAGCTACTTTCACTTAAAAAACAAAACCCATAACAAACTCTGTTTTATGATAGGATCAAATGGCTTCTAAATAATGCCGTCTAGTTTTAAGTGTATTTCATGTTATCTAAATGTTATTTTTCTATCCAAGTTAGAATAGTAATTGAAAATGTCATATTTAATAAATTAAATAATGATCTGAGGTTTTTATTATTGAGAAAAAATAAAATATTTGTTTCTATAATAATGTATGTATGGTTAGATCTAGTATATTTGTGTTATCTATCTGTAATACCACTGCTTTCCCTAACAGTAAAATTTAAACCACGGTCAAATAATTGCACATATTTCTCCCGTTCTTCCACTGGTCAACTCTGTAACATTTACATTCTATACTGCAAAGCACTTAAAAAGTAAGAAAAATAATTTTTTTCTTTACTATATTGAAAAGAACTTTGTTGTTTAGGGAACACGCTTTGGGAGGCAGAGGCTGAATTGGGTGTATTCTATACTTTGCTCAGCTCTCCAAAGGCTTAATCAATTGATGAAGTACAAAGACAAGAATACAGGAGATTTTCTGAGACAAAATGATGCATTATTTTTTCCCAGCATGATGTAGAAGAAAGGAGATGGTAGGTGTAATCACTATAATTTCTTAGCAGTTATGATAAGTAAATAAATGCTTCTAAGCTATTTTAGTTTGGGTAGAATTGAAGAGAAAAAAATGTCATCATGTGGAAAAATTTTATTTAAAAACACTGTTCTAGTGTAATTCCTTATTCATAATGAAAAAAGATGTCAGAG